GAGCGGAGCAAGGCAACAAAACTTAAAATAATAAGCAGCATTTTACGGCGCGCTATGCATGGGGCCACCCTGGGGGGGTTTCCCGACATGTCGTTTCAGTAAATTAAAGGGTGTTTCATGTTGTCATTGCTGTGGACCTTCTTAATACCTTGGAAAATGCCGTTTAATACTTTTTAATACTTTTTAATAGCCTTAATTTTCGCTAAATTGATTTATCAACTTTTAATACTTTTTAAGACCCCGAGGAGTAGTGGGCAGAGCTATTGTACAGCGCCCGGGGAGCAATGGGAGTGGGGGGGGGGAAGGGGGTTGTCCGGTGCCTTGCTCAAGGGCACCCCGGCAGGGACCAGGAGGTGAACTGGGACCTCTCCAAGTAGAAGTCCACACTCCATATTTAGGTCTGTTCGGGGACTTGAACTGGCGACCCTACGGCTCACAGTCCAAGCCTCTACTGACTGAGCCACTGCCGGACACAGTGTAGTCTTAACAGTGGCAAAAAAACATTGATGTCCCCAACATGACTTGAAATAAGTAAAAATGACATCCATTCACATAATGGCATTATTTAGGGAAGAATGGCTAGTGAGGGTGAATCTGTTTGTGTTGACACGTGTAAACATAAAGGGATTAGTCAACCTCTCACCTGTGATAATTTAATTAGAATGAGAAACATAACAACATGCTTAGTGTTCCTGACGAAGAATATAACAACAGATTGGACAGTGCTGTTATGATGCGTCAACCTGTTCATTTCATAACATGCAACGTAAAACACAGTGAAGGCAGTCTGCTTACATTTCACATGATCTGTCAGAGCTTTACATTTATCTCTAAGCAATAAACTATATTTTCTTACATCCTGTCCTGTGTCTGATTCATCTTGGAGTAATAATCTGCCAAGTGCAGTCCTATGGCTCATGTGACCCTGATTGTAGCTTTGATTTGTCTATAGCAGTCTGGATTAGAGGATAGAGCTGGCAATGTTTTCCATGTCATAAACACATCCCATGAACCTTAAACACTGTAGTTTATTTAGGGTTAATCCCCTAACATTGTCCTGCTTCTGTAAACAATCAAAAAGGTCCAAACGTGTATTAACTCATAGCTTAAAGTAGTCCCTACAAATGATATTTACTTCTGTTTTACTAACGTTTGCTGTATTGTGCCTAGCTTCTTTAGGAAAATACTTAGAAAATTAAAAAATATATTTGTAACCTAACCAAGACCTTCCTCCCGGTAATTTGAGTAACCTATTTGGCAGTTGAATAAACAAGGTTTGTTTTATTTGATGACGGTGACTACACACTTGAATGCTAGCAATGTTTTAAGATCTTGCCTATCCCTATTATGTTTATGATTGATAGTATTTGGTCTGATCTGCTTTGTGTTGAACTGAAGTGTCACTGTCACCTCTGAGAACTCTTCCTCACTCCCACACATGAACACACACACACGCAACCAGACATGATAGCTAGACCTCAAGTTGTTTAATGTGGAATTAAGTGCTAACTCTTATCCTCCCTCAATATACACAGCTATTATTAACAACTGCTGATTGAAGAACACAGACACATAAACACACACTCACTAAGGCATACACACACAAGGGTGATGTGTTCAGGTGACTTAAGCTGCGCTTCATCTTATTCTTCATCTACAGCATTAAACATCGAACTTAGGCAACTGTTCTCCTGAAGCAAAAGCTGCTACATTTAGTTTGCTCAGAATGGATGCTACTGATAGATTGTTGTGACAGTGTGTTAAACATGAAAAAAGTAAACATGAAACATAATAAAGTTAATCCCCTTTCTTCTGTGATTTAGTATCTGTTGATCATCAGATACTTGTTGGAGACTTAAGTGATAGTGGAATGAGCGTTTGAAGAGTCAGGAGAGGTCGTTCAGGGTGAGATCCGTGGAGTCTGATGTTTGGCAAGGTGCTGGCTTTGAAGCAGGAAGAACGTGGGAGAAGAGGTGATGCAACACAGGAAGCAATGCAGTTTTGGTCCTCGTAGTTTAGGGTCCCTTGTCGTCACATACCAGCAGTATGATCCCAGCTATGACTCAGAGTCCTAGAGATTGGGGGGCAAAATGATATGGATATTTAACAATATCTACATTCTCCTTGGATTTGTTAGATCAATGGTTCCAAAACTTTTCCTATAGGGACCCCTTTTCTATTATTAAGCACAGTGAACACCTTTAACTAAGCCACATATTTTATATTAGGTTCAATGCATAACAATATCAGTACAGAACGACTGAGAGGCTGTGCAATGAACCCAAGTAGTGAATGCAATAACTGCAGGAAGTTTGTGTAAAACAAGTGAATTTTGAGTGGATTCTTTTCAATTTCATTTACTTTCTACCAGATAGATTGGATATAGGCCAACTGTATAAATAAAAAACAAAGAAAAGTGTTCTTACTACCATTTGTAATCAAGTAGGCCTTGTGAAGCTTTGGCGACCCCTAGTGGGGATCAGATACACCCATAGATAAGAAACCAGTGTACTAAACAAAACATTCAAAAGCCAGATATCTCGTCTACACGTGTCCATGTCCATATTGAATGTATCTGCAATATCCTGCTGGTTACATATTATCAGATCTCGCCTAACATAATTATCCATAAGGAGAGAGACAGAAAATGGACGCAACTGGAGGGAAATCAAATAAAAGCTCTTATGTGATGAATGGAAATAAGGTCCTTTGATGTTTGGTAAGTGGATCATTGAATTGTGCCTGGACCTTTGTATTCTTTCAAAAGCATCAACATTGCCCGAAGCAGTTAGGAATCAGAGATACTGTGTATGTTATTTGTTTACTGGTCATCTAAGCACTGAGATTAACTCAGTGGGAACTATGATTGTCTAAATTCTAAGAGGATCTTTGGGATAAATATTTCTAACAGATTGAGGGGAGGAGACTAGGCAGCTGAATCTGGATATATGGGATTTGAGTTTTGTTTATCTTTTTCCTGCAAACAAAGCTGATTTGAATTAAAAGCAAATAAAATGGAAATCCTACGTTTCAGAGCTAGCTTGCTGAAACTATAGCTGCTCGTCCAGCACTGGAGAGGGTTTGAGGTAATCCGGATTGACAGCTAACTTTCTTGGCTGTATGATTGATACCACAGAGACAGCAGAGTGTTTTCAAATGCCTATATAATCTCCCTTACTTTCACTGAGGGCTGGGCACTGACCCCAAGGAATGCAAACACAGTGTTGTCCTCCTTTGACTGGAAGAAGTCTTCGTAGTCCTGTGGGGAAAACAAGACAATTAGGATGTTACATAATCTCGATATTTGAGAGATGGTTGCTAACATCTGTGCCAAATAGTCCCTCCTCTTCTGTTTTTAATGTAATTCAATTGCCATGACATTACAGAGTAATGTTGGATTACCTTGACCAGTGAGAGGGACGGCAGGCAGCAGATAATCCGCCCCATCCGTGAAACTGGATTACCACAGGATTACTGGGTGGCGTGCAAACTCAGTGGAGAAATGAACTGACAAGCACTAACTAATCAAACTCACCAGCATAGGATGCTCAACCTTGTACTGACTTACATTGATAAAGATGTATGTAAAAACTCAATTGCATGGTTTACACTGCTTAAAGTTAAGAATTCAGCTATTTATTGTTATATAGACTTTTTAGAGTATTTGTGTATCAAAATCTCACTCTGTTTCAACATTTTAAATGATTTATTTGAACTTAAAAATATCCAATCAAATGGGATTTTGGGCGAATCACCTACCTCTGCTTATCATATAAAACAACAAACAAGTAAATAAATTGAGTTTATTTTGATCTCAATTGGTAAAAATGTTCCTTACATTTTAAATCCTCTCTTTGTGATATTGAAGGTACTTTCTCTAGATTTTACCACCAGTGTCCCTGGAGATAAATATTAGGTGTTCTTCCTGCTGTTATCACATGTTCCATCAAAAATGTAGTTCTAAACCCTTGAGTTCTTCAAGAAATTAACTTTTCGGCAACACTGTCTCCAACTGTTAAAAGCTACCATATGGACGGATGACCATATAAAACATTATAAATAAACTTCCATCATACCCCACAGTAGTGATCATCATTGAAGATCTGTGGAGGCGGTGGGTTGCCTTTCTCTGGCTGCTTGTCTTTCGGGATGTTTCGGTACATCCACTGCCTCTGCTCCTCCAGCATGGTGATGTCTACTTCCTGGAAGCCGATTCGATTGGCCTCCAGGAAACCCACCACTGCCTGCTGATGCTTTTTTATCTAAACAGGCCAAAAAGAAATAGTAACAAAAAAGAGGATTCAGCCCTGAAGAGTTTGGAGAGTCAACTTTTTGTGTGAAAATAAATGTTTGTCTATTATGTGAATAAACACAGTACATATGAATATGTATGCGCACAAACATATTTTGTGCTGTAGCTCTGTATAGCTGGGTCAGTTTATGAGGGAACCCCACCGTGAAGACATGCAATTAATTTTTCCATTTGTGGTCTAAGGGATGGATACAACAGCTCCCTACGGTATTGTCCCTGTGTGTGCTCTGGGTCTCTGTGTGTGTGAAACTGCATCAATGTGTTTGTGAGTGCTGGGAAAAAACCAAACCCAGGGTTATTTTAGAAGTCAGAATACTCCCACAGAAGAGAAAACAACAAACAAACATAACACACAAATCCATAAGACTTAAGGGTCGAAATGTCTTTGAGATTTTTGATTAAAAATGATATATTTTTTTACTGAATTGGTTTGGTGGCAATTTCACTTAAACACATTTCAACAATGTTTGTCATTTTATTTATCTAGCTTGTATTTTTGCTTTAAAGCTTTTTTATAATTATTGATGTTACTGCAATTATTACGTTTATTTAGCATGGAAATAATTGTATATTCAGCATCAGTCAAACATTCTGTTATCATGTATCAATGCTCTCAACAAATAACAATAAATGTGCGCTTTATTCATTCATTCCTATTTTTCACCATTTGTATTATCTCATGCAGTCTATTATTGCGATAATATCGTTTGTATGATTGAGTATTTATAGTTAACAAAAGGGCTGATTTTTCAAAATCATTTGGGGACCAGACAGCGTGAACCACTAAAAACAGGGCGTATCATTTTGTGGAAACATTTTTCTACAAATGATGCCATTGGCAGATAAGGATATTTTTTTTAATTTTTTTAAATATGACGATTTAATAATGATAACGGTCCTGGGAGCTTGTGTGTGTATAAATGTCGAGTGTATCCATTATTTAAGTGACGCTAAGGACCACAATGGAGCTATTGTTTAACATTAAAAACAATAAGGGATTGTTCAGGACAGTCTGTTATAGACACACACCCAAACAAGATTATCTGTTGTGTCTTCCTTCTAACAGTGAGCCTTTTTGTGCACCAATAAAACAGATTTATCTGGAGACTCACAACAAAGTAAATGAATTGCAGGAGGACTGACTGTCTTTAAAGAGAAACACATGTCTGTCTGTTTGCTCTGGGCAAAGGTTAAAACTCCATTTGAAATCACAGGTTTAAGTATGTGCTGTATATCACATTGCTGCTCACAAAATGATACAACTTTCCTCTGAGCTGAAAAGCCGGCAGCGTGAGCCTAAATAATGAAAAGAGTTCTCCCAGTGAGGGTGAGCGTGTCAAGGGATGGATGAGTTCAGGTTAAATTTGGGAATATGCAGAAATGACACTCACTAAAAACTCACATTTCCCTATATGAGTATGAATTCATTGTTTGAGCGCACGTTCTGAAATATGGGGATTAACTGGAGGCTAATCTCTCAGTCATGTACAGAGAGGGACACAGGGAAAGAGAGGATTTTGGATGGAAACATTGAAATACATACATTTCCCGAGCTACTAAATAACATTTAAAAACATGACATTTTTAAAACTGCAGC